ATACAAATACAAGCAAACCAGTGAGCAGACTTTCTTGCTTGGCACAGGTGTGAAAACTCCCCCAAGAGAAGAGCACAGCCCTCTGCTATCTCTGCCAACAGGCAGCTGAGAAACACCCAGCTTACTCACTTTTTCAGTGATAAAACTGGCAGTGCCTTTCCCTCCCCAGGAGAGTACTGCCCTGCTCTGCAGCACCTGCAGCTCTGGCCTTCAGGTGAGGACATCTGCTGCTTGATTTCAGGCTTCTTCACTCAGAGGAACCTCCAAGGATCTGCTTTGATCCTGCTGGACAACGGACATTAAATTTGGGCCTTAAAATCTGTAAGTGGAGCCAACCTTTTCAAGCAACACCCAGAGGGGCAGATGGCAGTGACAGCCCCGCTCCCCTTGCCGGCCCCCCGAGAGATGCCCGGGGTGCCTGGGCTGTGCTGGCTGCCAGCAGAGGAGCACTCCTTCTCCCCCACAGGCACAGCCTCCAACGCGTGAGCTGCTGGGAAGGTTGTGACATAAATCCCGGCGCAGCAGCTGGATGAATACTCGGTTTAATCTGAGATCCAACACTCACAAGTCCAGCTACAAAGCGGTCTCACTTGGGGCTTTCTTGTAGCTTTTGCTTTAATCGAGTAAAATTCTGGAGGTCAAATTTCAGCCTCGGTAGCAGGATGTCTCAAGGTTTCCAGCATTTCTAGTGGAAAAACCCCCAGAGCAGAGCCCGTTTGCTCTGAGAATCGCGCGAGGTTCATCAGGGCTTCTCTCCTCGACGCGTTGCCCATTTTATTAACTTCTGCTTCGCTTTAAAAAGAGGCATCTACCATTCTGCTTCCCTAAAGAAGCTCATGTTATAATTCAAGTGTCAGGACAGATTAAGTTAAATGTGCTGTGTGATTCCCAAAGGAAAACAAACTTCCAAACATCCTCTGTTTGCCTTGTTCCGTGTCATGGATTGCATTAGAGCTGAACATGTAATTCTGTCGCCTAATGTGTTAAAGTTGGCAGGAATTTTACTCTCTGTGCAAGGTGAGAAATTACTGAGCTAACAAAACATTTCGTTTCCCCCTCCTTGCGTTCCTTCTTTATGAGATTCTGAATGTGACATTTTCGCAAAAAATCCCTACACTTATTTGTGAAAAATGTATATTAAAACCAAAACACATCAAATGGAAAGAAATCACAGATGGTTTTATTCACAAGCAGCAGAATTAATGGCCTTCCCTACTCTTTATAAATATTGGAAGCAGATGAGTTCATTACTATTTCACTCTAATAAAGAAAACCTGCTTGATTTTGACAAGACATCTACTTATCTAGTGTTTCTACTGAATAATAAATCTATTTTCTTTGAAAAATAAAAGTTATCAATAAACAAAAAACTACCTGGAAAATTTGCCAATCAAAAACCCCCAAACATGTTCATTTCTGATAGTGCTGAAATGGAATTTGAGGGATTTTGAAAATGTCACTAATTTTCAGACTAGAAAGTTTTGAAATGTTTACTTTGTGGTTGTCTTAAATTTTTACATCTTTCAACAAAGCAAGCAGAAAAGTGAAAACATCTGAAAGGGCTTTTGAAAAGAAAAGAGTCAGCACAAGCTGGATGAAGCTGTGGGCTCCTTTATCTTCCAGAAATCCGCACACATGGAGCAGAGTTTATGAGGGTTTTTTTAACCCGGCATTCAAACACTTCCCAGTTCACAATCCTGGCTCCATCGTGTTTGCCAGAGCTTCAAAGTGCTGTTGGCAGCTTTTCCTGCACTGGGATAAAACATCTTACCCAGGGGAAGCAAAAGCTGAGTCATTTTTAACCCCAAACAACATTCACTGATGTGGTCATCTTGTTAGTCATGGAAATCCCGTGTTAGCTCTGTTTGTGCTTCTTTCAACACTTATTAACCAAGGAGCGAGGAGGTTTTATTTTAAACTGCAGAAGATGTTTATCCTCCCTAGGGCCATGACAATCAGTTACATGGCTTATCCATCATTCCAGAGAAAGGAAAGGATTTTGAGAAACTCCCCAGGCAAGTTAATTTTTAAAGCTGTAGGAGGGAGAGGAGAAAAGAAAACAAAACACCAGCAAAGCCACCGGCTCACAAAGCCCAGAAGAACCCTCAGATGACACAGGGACTGTGCCGGCCCCCTCCAGCCCCTGCTGCTCCCCTCAGGCGCTGGGAGGATTTCCCTGGGGCAGGAACGGCCACAAGACACCTCTCCAGAGAGAAACCTGGGACTGTGCCGGCCCCCTCCAGCCCCTGCTGCTCCCCTCAGGCGCTGGGAGGATTTCCCTGGGGCAGGAACGGCTTCTCCAGAGAGAAATCACTGCCCCCACGTCTCAAAGCGCTAAGCAGAGCTGAAGAAATCAGCAATTTTCCTTCTAATCCAGATTCGGTGAACGACGGATGTCAGGCAGCTCCAGCCCCAGCCCTGGGGACGAGGGTCCCTGGCCTGGCCTGGGGTGTGCGCTGTGCCACAGGGTGTGCTGTGCCACAGGGTGTGTGTGCTGTGCCACACGGTGTGTGTGCTGTGCCACACGGTGTGTGGGCTGTGCCACACGGTGTGTGCTGTGCCACAGTGTGTGTGCTGTGCCACACGGTGTGTGGGCTGTGCCACACGGTGTGTGCTGTGCCACAGTGTGTGTGCTGTGCCACACGGTGTGTGGGCTGTGCCACACGGTGTGTGCTGTGCCACAGTGTGTGTGCTGTGCCACACGGTGTGTGGGCTGTGCCACACGGTGTGTGCTGTGCCACAGTGTGTGTGCTGTGCCACACGGTGTGTGGGCTGTGCCACACGGTGTGTGCTGTGCCACAGTGTGTGTGCTGTGCCACACGGTGTGTGGGCTGTGCCACACGGTGTGTGCTGTGCCACAGTGTGTGTGCTGTGCCACACGGTGTGTGGGCTGTGCCACACGGTGTGTGCTGTGCCACAGTGTGTGTGCTGTGCCACACGGTGTGTGGGCTGTGCCACACGGTGTGTGCTGTGCCACAGTGTGTGTGCTGTGCCACACGGTGTGTGGGCTGTGCCACACGGTGTGTGCTGTGCCACAGTGTGTGTGCTGTGCCACACGGTGTGTGGGCTGTGCCACACGGTGTGTGCTGTGCCACAGTGTGTGTGCTGTGCCACACGGTGTGTGGGCTGTGCCACACGGTGTGTGCTGTGCCACAGTGTGTGTGCTGTGCCACACGGTGTGTGGGCTGTGCCACACGGTGTGTGCTGTGCCACAGTGTGTGTGCTGTGCCACACGGTGTGTGGGCTGTGCCACACGGTGTGTGCTGTGCCACAGTGTGTGTGCTGTGCCACACGGTGTGTGGGCTGTGCCACACGGTGTGTGCTGTGCCACAGTGTGTGTGCTGTGCCACACGGTGTGTGGGCTGTGCCACACGGTGTGTGCTGTGCCACAGTGTGTGTGCTGTGCCACACGGTGTGTGGGCTGTGCCACACGGTGTGTGCTGTGCCACAGTGTGTGTGCTGTGCCACACGGTGTGTGGGCTGTGCCACACGGTGTGTGCTGTGCCACAGTGTGTGTGCTGTGCCACACGGTGTGTGGGCTGTGCCACACGGTGTGTGCTGTGCCACAGTGTGTGTGCTGTGCCACACGGTGTGTGGGCTGTGCCACACGGTGTGTGCTGTGCCACAGGACTGAGCCCTGGCAGCGAGGCTGGCAGCGCAGCCCCGGCTCGGCAGAGCTGCCCACGCAGCCACGGCCGGCACGGCGCAGCCCACTCTGCTTTGTGTCCTCCCCACACCCTCCTCCCTGCCAGGACATTCCACCAGGTGCCGGTGACAGCTCCCACGGCAGCCGCAGGATGCTGCTCCTGAGTTTTCTGCGGAACAAGTGGTACTGCTTTCAAAAGGTTATAAAAACATATGCCTGAAGAGAATGTCGGGAACTTGGGTATTAATCTCCCTTAATTCAAAGAGCACTCAAAATAAGCGAGACAGAAATACTGTCTGGGGTGAGAAGATGCCAGAGGTCAGATTGTGCACCACTAGCTTGGGTCAAGTTCAGAAGAATAATAACTTAGCACAAAGAAAAACAATTTTCAGCGCGGTGCAGTATTAGCCTGCCCTGGCGGAGCAGCCCAGTCCCTCCCCAGTGCCCCCAGCCCTGCAGGCTCCAGCCAGCACTGCTGCACTGCTGCAGCGTGGCCAGGGCTGAGCCCAGTGCAAGTGCTGCCCTCACTGCTGCCAGCATCACCGCCGTGCTGGGCATTGCTCCTGCCAGGCTTCACCCAACCCTGCCCCAGGAAACACAGCATTTCAGTTGGTTTGGACTTTGTACCTGTAGAGCAAGACATTTTGGATGCATTTTCCAAGGCTTTTTATATCCAATTTCCGAGGAAAAAAGTCCACAAACAAGAGCATATTCCCTATAGGGGATCGTGTTGCCACCTCTGCAGTTCACTCTTCTGATCCAGGTAGTTGTTTCAGTCGGAAAATCAAAACACAAAAGCACACAGAATTATCTGATTAAAACAAGTTTCATTTAACAAATTATATTAAGAATACAGACAGAGTTATCACACAATGAAACTTCCCTTTGTAAAATACAGGAGGGTCATCTAAAATAAATATAAAACATAGTAACATTCATAAGATTAATGCACAGTAAAATCACTTTCAGTAACCCAACCATCTTAGAAAACCACCTTGCAACTGCATAAAAGGTTTCCCTCTGCCATTTGCACGATGACAATTAAATCTGTTGCTCTTAGGAAACAATTTCACAACAAACGACCAGAATATCCAAAGTGTTTGGTTTCCCTGTGGTGAACGGACCGAGCAGCACCTCACAGAGCAGAGGAGCAGCCTCTGCCCCTCGGTAAGGCTGGGCTGCCCTGCTGTTGGGGGTCCCGGCTGCTGGGGGTCCCTGCTGCTGGGGGTCCCTGCTGCTGGGGGCTCCTGCTGCTGGGGGTCCCTGCTGCTGGGGGTCCCGGCTGCCAGGGGTCCCGGCTGCCAGGGGTCCCTGCTGCTGGGGGTCCCTGCTGCTGGGGGTCCCTGCTGCTGGGGGTCCCTGCTGCTGGGGGTCCCTGCTGCTGGGGGTCCCTGCTGCTGGGGGGCCCTGCTGTTGGGGGTCCCTGCTGCTGGGGGTCCCTGCTGCTGGGGGTCCCTGCTGCTGGGGGTCCTGGCTGCCGGGCCAGGCTCCAGGGCTGAGGTAATCATTTGGGTGCAGCGAGGCGTGCCTGCCTTTGGAGGAGCAGGAACAGCTCCCGGGCTGCCGTGGGCACGGGTGGGGGACAGACCCAGCGTCACCTGGGGAGCAGCGGGAGGTGAAGGCCAGCACGGCCAGCCAGCTCCATCCCGCTTCCCCTCGTGCCAGGAGACTCCAGCCCCACAGCAGAGGAGGTGCCAGGGCCCCTGAGGCATGCCCCTGCCTCTAGCACCACCTGGCACATGCAGTGCCCATGACAGGAATTCTCCAGGCTCGGCAGCGCGTGGGTTCAGTCTGGAGAGCTCAGGGCACCAAGGGAGCAGTGGTGGGTGTGAAACCAAACTAGCCCAATGCTACAGACTACCAACAACCTCCCACTGCACAGGAGGCACAGGAAACCTCCGACAAACACCGTGGGGACACGCAGGGACAGTCACAGGAAAAGTCTGACACAGTTTACTCCTATGGAACTACAGATACGAGGCGCTCCCGTAAGGGAAGACACCTGCTACAACTATTCACACTTGAATTTTATCACAAACTTCACACTCTACATCACTTTCTGGACTAACTTCTTGCCTTTCCGTGATCAACACAGCAGACAGCACAGCCTGGCCTGGGTGGCCACGAGTCACCTTGGCACATGACCAGCTTCTTGCCGTGAGGAATCCAGGAGGCAGCGTGTCACCAGGAATTCACATCAGAAGGCGTATTTTACAGTAAGCAAACCCCTCGCTGCTGCTTTTCTGTCTCTGTTGCAGATGTATAATAATTTGGCAAACTAACTTCTCCATCAGCCATAAGATTAAACTACCTAGAGACCAGTTTTGTTCTACAAATTCAGGCAAGGTAGCCAACAACATCTGGTAAAGCTCTGCAAATTCACTTCTGTTGCTTTCCACTGACTCCTCCCCTCCCCTTATGCTCCAGAAGGCTTCTCCTCAGCCAGACAACATCCACATCAGACTCCCTGCACATTTATTGCCTGGGCTAAGTCTTCCACAGTCACCTCTTGGACAGGGAGGGAGGTGCAGAGATGCTGGTACTGGCCATGGCACATGCCAGCACGGAGGACTCACTGTAAGGATGCAAGGACCAGCCTTGCAATGAGCTGCCGTGAGTACAAAAGTTATGGAGCAGCCAATAAAACCTTCCAGTGGAAATGCTGACCTGACAGCCCTGGTCTCGGGAATTCAGCAGTGCAATAAAAAAAGCTTCCTCTGATCAGTGGACTGAGAAGTTGACAGAGTCAACCACGCTGCGCTGTGTCTCGCTGTGCTTCCAAGCACTGGCTCTGAGCCCTCTCCCTTTTGGAATCACCTAATTTTGCAGCCTGTGGTTAGCAGGCCTGAGAGCTCAGCTGGCTCTCAGCAGGTGCAGCTTTTTGTTCAAAACACCTTCATTGTGTTTGCCCCAAGGAACTGCATCTGTCCTGTCTGTGCATTTGACGCAGGCTGTCCCCGCAGCGCCGTGCTGCAGGACCACACCATGGAGAGCAAACTCATCTCTCAAGGTTCTTTGCAGGTGAGTCCTGAAGCAGCTTTGCTGGCCCAGTGTTAGAGAGGGAGAAGTATACAAATATACCCTGAAGATGTAGATGCCTGTCCCGGCCCCGTGTCCTGCCAGTGTTTCAAGTATCCAGTGTTTCCTGTAGGTCACTGCAGAGCAAGCTGAGCAAACCTAGCAGCTGGTATAAATACTAAAGCACAGATTTTTCTCTTACATAAGGGACTTGAAGCTCTGCACCCATTTTCCCAGACACACCCAGGGAGTGTGGCACTGAGCGTGGGGCTCAGCTGCTCTCAGAACCTGCTCCTTGCTGAGCCCCATCCGCTGCAGCCCTGCCCTCCAGGCAGCTGCCCCTCAATCTCCCAGTGCAGGCACTGCCCCTGGAGCTCTGCAGACTGTGCTGGGCCCTGTGCTGGTCCACAGCCCTCGTTCCTCCACCGTGAGCAGGGCAGGTCAGCCCTCATCCCAGGGCTATGAGGAACGCACTGCTGCAGATGGCTCCTGCCTACCTGCCGTGACCACTGAGCCACAGGAGAAGCTATAAATGGGTGTCACAGAAAACTACAGAACAAATTACAAGCAGAAAAATAGAAAGACAAAAGATGGATGAGATGGGCACAGCACTACGGCACAGAGTGGATTTGAACTTGAAGTGAACCTGAGCCGAATGACCAAGCTGCCATGGTATGTTCATTTGTCGATGTCGGCATCATCAATCTGGCCTTTGTGAAGCCTGGCAGTGAGGTCTGGCTTTTCTTTACTGCAGGATAAATAACAACTAAAAATGGTGGTGCAAGCTCCAAGTAAACTAGCACTTCCAGGGGGTCACCCAAGGGCTCCAGAGCTGGTGCACAGCTTTAACTCTTTTGCCCAGAAACAATGTACACTGGAAACCAAACTGGCCTCTGTTCTCCAACCACATGGCCACTCTACAGACACAGCTCCAGAAAATTATTTACCTGATCAGAAGAAGCTGAAGCAAAGATCTGGACTCAGTTTGTCCCAAATGTATTTTGTGCTCTTTATCCCAGCAGTACAGCGTGGTGCCTTAAAACCAGAAATGAATCTTTGGACAAGAATTATTTTACTTATGTACAAATAAAAATATTAGCTGACAGTACAAAAACTGCTGTTAGTTACCACTCTGTGCAACTAGCAAATGCCAGATCAATCCAGGGGAGTGCAAAGTAGGTCAGGGCACGTGTATGACCCAGGCTGAGAGCAACAGCACTGTTACTGTTACCATGGCAATTGCGTTTCAGTGGGGTCAGGGAATCAGTATTTTACAATACAAAAAATTGTACGCTTTAATTCTTACTCCAAAATTGCCATTTTGCTGCCATGATGTATCTTTGTTCTACAGCAGAGACTTGAAAGAGCAGCACAGAGTCAGACGGGCACTTGTAAATAACTTACTACAGCAAAGGACTTCTCCGAGGCTTGCGCTTGGCTTGGGAGCAAGCCCGATCAGCGATCACAGGGAGGCAGAGGTCAGGGTTTAACACATCCCACTCTCATCCTGTGCCACGTCAGCGTTCAGTGCTTCCCCAAGAATGCCCAGGAAACAGGCACATCTCTTTTGTTTCAGCAGCTAGCGGGAACATGTCAGAGGACTGCCTCAATGACGGGCAGGTGACGGCATCCCGGTTGTCCGCAGGTCCATAGGGTCAGGGGCCACTGCCAGGCTGTCGCTGCCAGCATCCATCCAGAAACACAGGATGCTTGTTGCCCTAGGTCCACATGGACAGATGGACACCCTGTGCAAAGCAAAGGTGCTTCACCTCAGGACCCGCAGTGCACCTTGGGCACCCTGCCTGCCCTGCCAGTGCCCAGGGAGAGCCAGGGGCATTGGCTCCCCCAGCCTAGAGCAAATCCAGTGACCACAGCGGATGTGAGACTGATCCCAGCCACAGTGGAACTTCTGTGCCCGGACCGTGGCAGAGGGCTTGGCATTCACTGCAGGTGAGTTCTGCACCGGACTGAGCGCTGCAGGAGCCTCCTGCTGCAAGGTGTCGAGAGCCAGGCAGCTCCACGGCAGCTCGTGTGGCAGTACCCAGCCGTGCCTTCCACTGCTCCTTTCAGGGATAAGATCTCTCCATGCTCCGCAGGCCGCTGGCTGTGTCTGCAGAGGTTTGCTACAGCTCTGGCTGCTGTGACTGTCCTGCAGCAGGGTTGCAAAGTGGGGATGAGCAAGGGGCTGCGTCAGGCTCCCAGTCCTCGGTCTGTACTCAGCTGGAGAGGGGTGTGCAGTAGGGTAGGGCAGCTGCCCGAGGTGGAGCGGCGTGCGCAGGGGCGGTGCAGCGGCTGGTGGCGGTGGGGCGCGGGAGGAGGCCGGGGCGGCTCCATCCCGTGCCCTGCTCAGTAGTGCGCAGCACACGCGCTCCGGCCGCGGCCCCTCAGGACGGCGGCACCGGCGGGCAGCGCGTGGGGCTGGGCGGCAGGCGCGCCGCCGCGCTCTGCTCCGTGCGGAAGCTGTAGTCGTACTGTGGGCAAAGCAGAGAGAGGAACCTGGAGCACCGACCCACACACAGCACCGCGACAACACACGAAATGGAAGAATGAGAGAAAAACCGGGGCTGGCCACGCCAGGTGAACCTGCTGGTACCACCTGACCCCACATCAGTGACCTCCCCGGGTAGGGATCACCCCCCCTCAAAACCCAGCATTACCACAAACACGACCACACTCATCCTGTCCACAAATCAGCTAGTCAGAAACATTCCCCTGGCAAGTTTACTCAAACCACTACCATCAGAAATAACATTTTTGGCTGGCAAGAGGGTGAAAATCCCTATACAGCCATCGCTGTCCCTGCACCACGGGACAGCCCTGCAGCTGAGGGACGTGCACTGTAGCAGTGCCATCTCGTGGCACGCTGCGAGCGCACCCGCCACCCGCGGCCACCGGAGCCTTTCCCGTGGCAGGCGGGCGGCGAAGGCAACACCATACGGGCTGGGGGCTACCGAGGCAGGAGCTGCCCAGGAGCGCGGCACACCCGCTGCAGCGCCCCGTACGCGGGCTCTCCTCCCGTGCATCTCCCAGGGTCGCGTTTGTGGCTCTCGGAACGTCACAAACACATCCCCGTGCGTGCTCCTCGCAGCCGGGCTGGGACACGGGACGTGCTGCCAGCGAGGCGGTCCGGGCAACCATCAGCCATGCCGGTACCTGGCCCAGGGCCGTGCCAGCTGTACCAGGGCTGCGCCGCTTCCACCCAGCGCCGAGCTGCTTTTGGTGCGGGCTCGGGAGGACCCCAGCGTGACGCGGAGCCCCGGGAGCGCCGGTGCCGCGGAGCTCCGGGAGTGCCGCCGGTGCAGCGGAGCTCCGGGAGCGCAGGTGTCGCGGAGCCCCGGCAGTGCCGGTGCCGCGGAGCCCCGGGAGTGCCGCCGGTGCCGCGGAGCTCCGGGAGTGCCGCCGGTGCCGCGGAGCTCCGGGAGTGCCGCTGCTGCCGCGGAGCCCCGGGAGTGCTGGTTCCGCGGAGCCCCGGGAGTTCCGGTTCCGCGGAGCCCCGGGAGTGCCGGTGCCGCGGAGCCCCGGGAGCGCCGCTGCCGCGGAGCCCCGGGAGTGCCGCCGGTGCCGCGGAGCCCCGGCAGTGCCGGTGCCGCGGAGCCCCGGGGCCGGCAGGGGGCGCCGCGGCTTCGTGGCGGGCCGGGCCGGGCGGGCAGGGGCAGCCCGGGCCGCACCGGGGCGGGACCGGGGCGGGACCGGGAGCTGTACCAGGCTGGACCGGGGGCTGTACTCGAAGCTGTACCCCGGCTGATACCAGGGCTGTACTGGGGCTGTACCCGGGCTGTATCTGGGAGGTACCCGGGCTGTACTGGGAGCTGTACTGGGGGCTGTACCCGGGCTGTACCCAGACTGTACTGGTGCTGTACCCGGTCTGTACTGGTGCTGTACCCGGGCTGTACTGGGGCTGTACCTGGGCTGCACCAGAGCTGTACCCAGGCTGTACCCAGGCTGTACTGGGGCTGTACCCGGGCTGTACTGGGGCTGTACCTGGGCTGCACCAGAGCTGTACCCAGGCTGTACCCAGGCTGTACTGGGGCTGTACCCGGGCTGTACCCAGGCTGTACCTGGGCTGCACTGGTGCGGTACCCAGGCTGCACTGGTGCTGTACCTGGGCTGCACTGGTGCGGTACCCAGGCTGCACTGGTGCTGTACCCGGCTGTACCAGGCCTTTACTCCCCAGGGCCGCACCTCCCTGTCGCGATGCTGCAGCCGCTGGCACGCAATAGGCCTCATTTTTCAACACCCAAACGCATAAAGATGTCAGCTCAAACTGTTTACTAATTAACACTTAAAAAGACACAAATTAGATATGCGTGGCTAAGAGCAATTATAATCAAGACGAATCTCTCCAGTCATTGGGGAACTGAGGAAACTCCTAATTGCTGGAACCAATGTTTTAAAAGCTGAAATCATGCCAGTTAGCAAATATGTTCATTTAAAGAACATTTCATGTGACTGCACTCAGGAGAATTGACTACAAACATGCAAACAAGGAAAAATATTTCTGTGTAAAATTAAAATTTTAAGCTCTTCTAGATTTACAACTTCTTCATTAAATATATTTGCAAAAAGCAGCCCATGAAAACTTGCAGCAATTCAGTGGTTAAATGAACTGCCTTCCTTATCAGTTTAAAAGGAATGATGAATACTGGATGCTCCCTTTACTAATTAGACGTTTTACACCACGCCAAGCTCAAATGAAGACAGGGTGCACCCTGCCAGGGCCCAGACCGCTGCCCTCACTGCCACACATCCACCAGGGCTGGGAGCAGTGACAGTGCCACCACCTGCCCTGTGACCTGCCCCTGCCCAGGTGCCCGCTCCACCCTACCCAGGACAGGCAGGGGCAGCATGGACAAAGCCCAGAGCCCTGCTGGGAGACCTGCCAGCAGCACTGTCTGTCCTACACTCTCCTCTCTGTCCCACACCCACCAAATCAGCCACGAAGTGATGGCATGTGCTGCTTACACCTGCACTTCACCACCCCTGCATAGCACAGCTGTGCCATCCTGGGGCAGCGAGAGCAGCTCAGGTGCAGTCCAGGATTTGCACCTATTTCCATCATTTTCCTGACAGGGCAGAGTCCTCAAATTCAGCTGCCTGCAGCTTGGAGGATGGGTGCATACATCTGCAAATGTGGTGACAGAGAACAGTAATTCTTGGAATTCTTTGGGAATATTTTTTGCAAGGCATCTTGCTCCAGGGAGAATGTTCTGGCTGCTTTGGATATCCAGAAGATTTGCTGTAATGGTGCTATTGCTTGCAAGGGAAATAAAGCCACGCCGAAATTCACAATATTTATATGTGTAGCTCTCTATGTGCAGACAAGATGCTTCATCAAGGAATATGGGCTGCATAATCATACTTTTCATTACGCTGGAACGCACACAGCCTGCTACAGAGCAGGAGCTGTGGGAGAGCAGGCAGGTCTTGGCCTCTCCTCCCTGGCCCACACAAGTGACTGCAGCGCTGCTGTCCCCACGCCCTGCCAGCCTGCGAGGGCACAAGCAGGGCTGTGCAGCCCAGCCCCCTCCAGGCAGCCCCCCAGCTGCCAGACCTCTCCCACAGCCAGGCAACACACAGAGACCATGCAGCAGCAAACTCAGCACCACATGGATTCTGCTCCCTGGCCAGCTCAGGGCAGGGGTGGGAATGCAGCCAGGCACCTGGAAGGGCCCTGAGCATCCCCTGCTGCCAGGGACCCTCCTGACAGCCACGGGCAGTCCCAGAGAGGTGGCATGAGTGCCACGTGGCACGCTGCAGTGCCTGTGGCACTGGTGCATCTGTCAGCCACTGCCCCTGTCAGGCAGCATCTTCAGATCCACCACTGCAGCCCCTGCAGTCCACAGGGAGCCTGCAAAAGCCCTGGCAACTGGGCCTGGCCATCGTCTTGTACTCAGACAAAACTTTCAGGCACAGGAGGGTGGATCTGGGCAACTACACTCAACTGGAATAAGGAAGTGGAGAAACTCTGGGGAATCTGGCAGCTTTGTGATGCCATCTTCTCACTCTGTCCCTTGAACCCAGCTGGATGGCATAGGAGGAGGCCTTTGTGACCAGTGGTGCCTGAAGAAGCATGTGCTGCTGAGACAAGTTTCTTCCTAGTCTGAGACTTCAGATGTGAAGCGTGATGTGACCTTTGCAGAGCAGAGAGCTCCTCGGCACCGTGCCACACACGTCATGCATGAGCCAGAACACCCCCTCAGAACCCCCCCTGGTTTGCTGGCTGCCTCCTCCCTGGCTCCTCAAGCATTCACTCCCACTCAGTGCAGCCCAGCTCTCCCAGCAACAACTTCCCAGCATCAGCAAACTAAAGACTCGTGAAGCTGTTTACCTGACCCTGCTGAGTCAAGTCCATCTGCCCCCTGACATGCAAGAGGCACCTCAGGGTGTTCTGCCACTGCCATGTATTGTTAATACATGAGAAAGCAAGACAGACACCTGGAAATAAACAGAAGGCCCCACACACTGACATTAAATTCACCACCTGAAGTGTCTTCACTCATCACAGATCATAGAGGGCATCCCTGGCCCTGGGCTTACTGCTTGACTTTATCCATCCTCTGTGACTTGGGAGAGACAAGAAAAGTATTTTCCATAAGGGAAGGGTTCTTAAAAGAAGTGAACACAGCCCCCGTGATTTGCTCAGTGCCTGGCTGGCTACTTACCTCCTTTTCGATTTCTGCAAGGGTTTTGATTGTGATGCCCAAGAGATCAACCGGCTGCATCTGGCAAGAAAGAAACAAAAATGTCAAATTCAGGGTCAGGGAGGGGCTGTGTGTTTGTTTGTTGTTGTGCTCTGTTTCAAGTCAGCAAACACTCCATCACTGGAGATTTAGAGGCACCATCTGTAAACACAGGCAGGATCCTGCTCCTCGTTCCAGCCCGCGGTGGGCTGGGGCTCCCTCAGCACGACAGGTGACACTCACCTGGGAGCTGCTCTGTGCAGGAGAGCTGCCTCCTCCCCGCTGCACAGCACCCCGGGTCTGCGGCTGCAGCACGAGGTGCGAGCAGCAGCAGCTGCAGGGAGCCCTGACCAAACTGACCATATGGTGGCAATGGTGTCTAAAGGATCCGCCGGGAGGATTAGCACGGCCTAATCTCCCTGCATTTGTCCTCACAGCGGGGACTTCAGATTTCTGGGAATAATGGCCCATAAACAACCCTCTCAGAAAGCAAGGGATGTGAAAAACCGCTGTCAGCAGGAAGAAGAAAGCAGAAAGCTGGAGCACTACTGAAAAATCAGACACAGCTGATGGCCCAGTGTTTGCCTTAACAGCTTCCTGTAAATTGATTTTTAAAAAGATGCCGCTTTAGGATCGGATGGATTCAGGAACTGCTAGTGGGATGCTGAATCTTTGAGCTCTGGATCATCAACCTTAACAAGCACTGGTCCAGTGGCACCCAGAGGTCATTCTGAACCAGCAGCAGTGTTTCTGTCTGGTGAAGCAGACGTGCCCTGCCCGTGCTGGTGGCCGTGCCCGCTGAGAGCAGGCACCACCCAGTGCCCTCTGCAGCTCGCCCGCAGCCAGGCAGGACCCTGGTGGCAGCTGATGGCACTGGAGTGCACTGTGCCATTACCACTGCCCTGAACTTCTGGAGTGACAACAGGAAGCAGTAAAGCTGTTGGCACTGTGCCATCCTCACAGCAGGTAAATGCAGGAGAGCTCCACCTCTGCAGCTTTCCTTACAATCTACGCTAAGAAATTAGAAATGCTTTCAGCACCTGGGAGTCCCATTGCCATTCCTATTTTTGATGGTAATAAACCCTGAAATCCCAGGACAATTCAGTTTTAGAAGCAATCTGGCAAAAGCCTTTCCCATCTAACGGGCAGCTATTGTGACATGCAACCTCAGCCCATCTCAAGCACTGGATATGTAGTACTTGGCCCCACAACAGAACTCCCAGAAGCAGGTAATTTGTCTTGATGTTTTGTGATCGCTGCCCATGAAACGATGGATTTCAGACACTGGAGAACAACAAACTCACCCCTTCAGGAGCGCAGGCAAACTTCTCCGAAATCATAAAAGGCACTCCATCCATTGCTGAAAGGGACAAGACATCACATGTGACGTTTCCAGCTGCCTTCTGACATGCAACTTCACACATTCCCAGTGACAGATCAAGTATTCACAGCACTGACACATGACTGATTGCTCCCAAACGTTACTGCCAGCCTTTTTCTCCCTCTAAACTGCCAGTGGTTTCTTTCCATTTAAGACATAGCGGGGTCAGTCCCTACCAAGCCAGGAATCCAACAAATTCTCCTTGCTCTATCCATATATGATTTCATGGCCTCAATTTTGCATTTTCCAATTTGCTGCAGCTGGCAAAGCAGGACAGTATTTGAAACTGGAAGGACACACTTCTATTTATCACCTCCTCACCAAACCTGGCCTGGCAGAGTGTAAACTCCACAGTGAGGAGTGGCTCAAACACTTGCAAACCACATCTGGAGGATGTAAACCAGTGGAATATGGAGACAGACATAAGGACATGACACCACATGGCACAGCCTCATGTCACATGGCCCAGCTTTTTCTGTAGCATAACCTTAATGGTACTCAAAGCACTGTTTGTTTCAAAGCACTGCACCCACAAACCCAGTGCTCCTCTGTCTGCTGTTTCTAACTTGTACAGCACCACTGAGTTACCATGTTAGTGATTAAACAAGGGTCATTTAAAAATACTCAGCCTTTTACATTTGCTTTATCTATTTTCAATATAAAACCCCCCTCCACGGGAGCAATTTTGTTATCAAAGGTGCTGCATGGCAGCCACAGCCCAAAGGAAAACAAAAGGAAACAGATGAAAAGCAGCATCACCAAATCCAGGAAGTTTTAAACCTGAAAGACCATCTGCACTTGTTATCCGACAGAAACCCTCTTTGATCAGCCACACGCCAGCCTTTGTAAAGTAATCTAAAGGCTGAGCTGGGGAGTGTGTGCGTGCCCAGAGCCCCCGAGCCCCCGGCCGCGCGCTCCAGCCCACCCGGGGCTCGGCGCAGCAAAGCAGCAGATAAAAGCAGGGTGAGCCAAGGGCTCCACGGCGCAATTAGCACTCTCCTAAACAAACGAGCTTCAACAGAGCTGTAATTAAGCAGGCCTGTAATTAAGTATATGCCCTTTATCATAACGATCATGCTTAAAAATGGCACGATGCATGGAAGTGTGTTATTAACGCTGCACTCCCCGAGCGCGGGAGCGTGCCGTGTCAGGCCCGTCACCAGCCCTGCTGCTAAAATGCATTAAAGGCAGAGAGCAGGACACAAGGTGCTCGTTCAGCGTCTCCTTTCTCAGCCAGGCACCAGTGTCATGGGGGGTTAAATACTGCCAGTTCTGGAAACTTTGCAGAAACGAAGCCCTGGGCGGCCACGGCCACTGCCTGCCCCAGCACCAGGTGGGCAGCAGCCCCCAGACCTTCACCCCCGGCTCAGCTGGGCTCCAGGAGCCCTTTGGGGCTGCAGGCAGGAGGGGGGACCCCCAGGACAAGGTGCACGGGGAGCAGCACTCCCCCCTTGCATGTGCTCCCCGGCTGAGCAATGCCCTGAACAAAGCAGATGCTCTGGGGGCAGACCCTTCTGTGCCCCCCACCTCACCTGTGGGGTCCCCTGCTCAAAGGATGAGACACCCACTGCTGCTGCTGCCCACCATGGGCTTTTTCATATTCATGAGGACTTCAAGGGTGTGCTCTTCTCCCTCAAAATGGAACAAAATAAAGCTGGATTTCCGAAGAAAAACTGTTTCCAATGGCTGTTTGCTGCCTCCCAGGATCAGCTCATTCCTGAGGGTCACAGCTAATTAACTCAGGCACTGAAATTAGTTAAAAGAGTTGAAAGGAGCCAGCAGCCAAAAGCAACCTCGCAAAGCCCTGCCCCAGAGGACAGTGTTCCATGCACCCCTGACAGCAGGAAGGGGATGGGTGCCTCGGTGAGGTGTGGTGGACATGTCCCTTCATCGGTGCAGGAGCACCAGAACACACAGCCAGCTTCCACCTGGTGGCTGCTTCTTCACTGTAATTTACCAAGACTTGCTCTCAGACTCTAGTGGGGAGGACACCAAAGCATGCTCTGGAATTCAACTTGCTAGCTCGCTTAGAAATCCTCTCTTTAATCTGTGAAAGTATTGTCACCCTTCTCTAAGCACTCGAGAGATGCTGCCTTCTGTGCTGCAGACTCCAACTAAATCTCAGTTGTCAAATTAGTAATTCATCTTTCTTGAATAACTATATTTTTAGCCAAGCTACCAGATTTAAATAATCAGACCTGCCAATGCTACCCTAATTTAAACATGCTGACGAACTTTCACAGGCAGCATCAGCTAACATAATGAGTTTCTGGATGACAAAGAACTTCAGACGGTAGTTCTCTACACTACCCAGCGTAATAAGCACTTGTTCTTTTCTACAATGTGCACATAAAAGAGAAATCTAAATAATAGTTGCCGTAATTATCTTGAAAAATATGTGGTGATTAATGGTGATTATGAAAATCTGTATAATTGCTCGCTAACGCTCCAAAGATCAGATGCTCTCTTGAAGCAACCATCAGTGAAGAACTTGGAAACACTGGAGCTTCCAAGCTGCTGTCCCTGTGGGAGCGGGATCACCCGTGTGCCAGCTCAGCCTTCACCCTCCCGTGACCTCTGCCAGAGGTTCCGGGATGTCCACGCTGTGACGCGCGCGTCATTGCGGCTGAAAGCACCAAGTTCAACCTGTTATTTATGCAAATAATTAATTACTCTTGTATCCAACTCACAGTTTGTCATGACACATTAATGACTTGATAGACTTCTATGAACTAGTGAGCACAGGACAGCAGAGCGCTTTTATCGTCATTTAATTTAAAAACGATCCTGTGTGAAATTATCTAGTTGTGAGTGATGGAAGCATAAAGAACAGACTCAGCAAAGCTTCTTTTGGATCATTGCTTTATTAATGGTAACGTCAGGGAAATGAAAAATGCTAACATTGTCATATTTAACTCCTGGGTACAGATGAATCGCTGCCTCAGAGCCTGGCAGTGAGTGCTAATTCCTCACACCACGACTGGGGGGATACACAGCCACGGAAGAGTTTATACACCTCGACTCCCAAGGAAATAACAGCTGTTTCTGCATTAAATTCTCACCATAAGCTTTTATAGCTTTGGATTTCTTTATTGCTGTTTTTGCATCGCCTTTAACACTAGAATTTTCAATTTCTGATATTAAAAATATTTAAATAAATAAATCGATCCCTTGCAAAATGTTTTCCTGCATGACTGAAAATGAAGAACTGTTAATCCAAACCAACAAAAACCCCAACACTGAGTGCACTACTACCACCTTTAAAATTTAAATGACCTTAGATTTTAGAAAGGGCTTTCTCTAATGCTGCAGAACTGTTCCTATTTTCCCCAGACCTGAATGCTAACAGTGTGTTTATCCTTTACCAAGAAGAGTATCTCATAAACCAGCCTACAGCAACACCATAAAACCAGCAGAGCTTCCCTGCTTAGAGAAAACTTGATTTCCAGCTAAATGGCACCAGAGGAATCTGAAAGCAGATTGAGAATGGGGGGCTGGCACAGAGCTCTGGCAGCCCTGGAGGGGAGCCCCTGTCTGGTGCTGCCCTTGGTACAGGGAGCCATGCAGAAGCATGAAGAAATGAAACAGTTTGCAACACATCCAGAGAAGGGTGTGAGCTTTTCAAACCAAACCAGCTCTCCATGATGCTCCTATTCCTGTATTTCTATACACAGAGATTTAAACAGCAACCTGAACAGTAAATGTGTGTGCTCTTTGTGCTACAGTGCACCAAGGCCCATATGGAACCACACCAAATCACTGATGGCAAAACCTCAGGGCCAAAACACAAAAGCAGCCTTTCCTGACGGCTCCTGCCAAGCCAGCTGCAACAGGGAACTCCAGCTGTGCTCCCCAGCTGCAGACACCAAGCCCAAGACACACACAGCTTCTTTGTGTCATACAAAGAGGCACAGAGGTGCAGGCTCAGCACAGGGCTCAGCTCTGCTTGCCCGAGGCACAAGCCCAAGCCCATGAAAGCCCCAGAACACTTGATGTGGCTCTGGGGGCAGCTGCTCTGCAGGCCCTGTGGCTGCTGGGCAGCAGGAGCTGTCCCCAGGGCTGTCGTGGGGCACAGCCAGCGGGGAATGCCCAGCCCAGTGCCAGGCAGCAGGGTGGCAGCAGCACCAAAACACCCAGTGCCTGGTGCAGTGAGTGGGACAGCAGGGGCCTCCTGGGCTGGGGAAGGAACCTCTGCCTTGGGAAAGGTTTACAGCTTTCCTGTTCCTCTTGAAATGACTTTGATTAAAAAAACAGACCTGGACTAAATTTTCATTTTTGCTAATTTGATTGTCAGCCTTGATTTTCTCCGTTTCCTGCATAGCTCATGACATGGCACAATTAGTTCTTTACTGCTAAGATCAAGCCACGAAAACACTTGAAAAAGTACCCCTGGATTTGATTATTTTCTTTTTTAAATAAAGTGAAGGTTAAGTACTGCATGGTGACGCCTGAGGAGCACCTCAGCACTGTGACTCCATCAGCACCAGAGAACATGGAGAGACTTCAAACAAGCTCTTCAAATTGCAAGTGTTTAGGAGCTCTTGATTTTATTATTTTTTAATAAAATGTCCCCTTTGAAGTCTCTGCACCACACTAAACTTCAAAGATCACACCTTAGCATGTGCTGTTTCCAAGCCACAACCCTTAATTAATTAGAGCAGAGCAGATACAAACCAGGGCACTCGCATGGGGCTGAGGCAGAGCTGGGACAGGGCCTGCTTAGTGATGGGGAGGCAAAGGGAAAGGCAAAGGGAAGGGAAAGGAAAGGGAAAGGCAAACAAAAGGCAAAGGAAAGGCAAAGGAAAGGCAAAGGGAAAAGGAAGGGAAAGGTAAAGGGAAGGGAAAGGGAAAGGAAAGGCAAAGGAAAGGCAAAGGAAAGGGAAAGGCCAAGGAAAGGAAAGGCAAAGGAAAGGGAAAGGCCAAGGAAAGGAAAGGCAAAGGAAAGGGAAAGGCCAAGGAAAGGAAAGGCAAAGGAAAGG